TTTTTCAGAGAGTAAATATGCCAGAAGGCTATAAAGTCAAACCAAAGGTCTCTTAGCCCAGCGGCATTTCAGCAGCCAGCTGCAGATGGCTAAGAACAGAGCAAGAACAAAACTTCTCCTCTCCCCTAAAACTTTTCAGTTTCTCAGAATGAACAGCTTTGGGAATATCCACCTGCTGCCCCAGGACATTCAAGGTGGTCTTGTATTTTGTAACTTCATTTCCAAGTGGAGGAACTTGAGGAATTGCTTGGGAGAAACTGGGGCAGCAGTTGAGCCAAATCTGTCCCCTGAGGGGTCCTGCTGGCTGCTCCCAGACCTGCTGCAAAACTCTTCACAAACAGAGAAGCAGCTGTATGAAAGTAACGTGGCTGCTGAGATGCACAGGGGATGGGGACCCATGGGCACATCTGCTGCTCCGTTTCTGCAGGTAGCTCTTACAAATCAGAGGCTCAGCAGCTTGTGTTAAAACTTCGTGGAGAAATGGGAGTGCCTCTGAAATTGCTGTTTGAACTGCTCCAGATGTTTATTGCAAATGCAGCACCAGTGGGTGATCCCGGCTCCCAGAGCTTCCCGTGCTCAAAAGGACAGGTAAAAGTGGAGGCTGACGTGGAGATGTTGAAAATATGGCATAACTTCCACCTCTCACTTCAGAAAAGGTGTTGGTTGCTGTGTGGTTGGCAAGTATTCAGTGTAAGGGTTCCTGGCTGCCTGAGATGACAGCAAACCCTGTGTGGGGTGCAAGGACTCGCACCTCCAGAAACCCTGCTTCCTTCTTGAGAGCTGAGTGACAGAGAAGCATGGCTTTGAGAAGAGAGGCCTTGGTCATGAGGTGGAAACATCAAATGCCTTGTAGTGGATGCTGCTTCTGCGTGAAGGCTTTGGTCATTAAAAGTGTGGGTTTGGATTTTAAATAATGCAGCCTTGCTTTGCACAGTAGTTGTACAAGAAGTGAGACAGTTGAAACAGCCACATGGAGCTGCTTCCTCTTCTTTCCAGTCCTCCTCTGCCCAAAGACACCATGCGTTATAGTGAACAGACTTTGGGCAGAGTCTTCTCTACCTTTTAAAATGTGCTTCTGCTGCAAAGCAGAGCCATATTTTGCTGAGTTAATCATGGGAATGGCTATGTGACACATTGATTATTCTTTAAAACGTGGTGATGACTGATGCACTGGTTGATACCTGGTTCTTTATGATCTGCTCCTTCAGATCATGTTAACGTATTTTCATTATGTTGGACTTTGCTTGTATTTATCTGATTTTAAAGTGGTGCTTTGTATAGCTCAAGGCTTGTAGTCTGTGTTTGATGTGCAATAGCAGACAGCTTGAGGTTGTGGTTTATTCTTCATCTCAGAAAAGCAGTTTGTTTCCCTCATTTTAACTATGTCACGTCCTCTTTCGGGGGGCGGGTAGAAGCTGTGTCTGTCTGTGTATAAGATCTCAGAAGCATTAATGAAAAGAAATTAATGAAATGTGCAGCTGAAAAGAGGGATTACCTGCGATAGACAATGCTGAACTGAGATAGTTCTCACTTCTTTGCAACTATACCCAGGCCCCCTCCTGAGGAGTCCAGGGAAGCTCTCTGCAGTTCCCTGGTGCATAGGAGCCACCTCGTAAGCAGCAACCGGGGCCAGCATCCGCATTGGAGCAGCTGCATGAGCTAACATTTCTCCACTCATCCCCAGAACAGCAAGTATCGGAAGACCGGAGTACGCTGGCACTGCTGCCGTTCATCTCCCATGCTTCCACGGCCAGAGGGCTCCTCTCCAGGCTGACAACCGGGTAACTTTCCTCCATCCTCAGCGCTCGCTGGGATGAATCCAAGTGTGAACAGCACCATTCCCCAGCTGGAAGGCTGAGGCTAATGAAAGAGTGACGCACACGTTGCATGGTCTTGTGCCAGCCTCTGCTGTCAAGGCTGAGTAAAAATTGTAATTTATTTTAATGTAGTTATTGAGGCATTTTAATTCCATCAAAGGAAATAACACGAGACAATCTACAAATATTCATTTGCTACTTTTAAATGGATTTGGTTCAGCTGTGCTTGGTTTCTCCTTTTTGGGTTTTACTTTGAGACTTCTCGCTTCCAGTCACAAGTATTCAAGGACTGTGAACCTTAAAAATTGCACTCTAAATGCTGTGTTTCATACATGAATATTTAAACAGAGTGATATACTCTGTTCTTTCTGTAAGGCTCCATTTTTAATCATTAATGCCTGTTCTTTTGAGCAAATAAACTCCATATATATGCGAATTGTATGCATTTAAAAAAAAAAAGATAACTCTCTGGGACAAGTTCCAATACAACAATATTCTGTTTATGAATATTTATAGAGCCATCAAAATTGGTGAATATTGAATTTGCTGATAAACACTGCTGTGTTTTTACTTTTCTTTTGAAAGAGACCAAAAAATTATCTGCAAATTGGGTCAAATTGAGTACCTCATTCTGGTCAAAAAGCATCTATTTTATTCTTTGGTTTAAAAAAAAAATATAAATCAAACCTTCAAACTTCTTGATTGAAAGCAAATTTTGGGTGCATGATTTATTCAAATTACAAAGAAAACCCCAAATCTTTCAACAGTATTGAATAACACCAAAGAAAACATTTAATTTGTGGAAAAAGATTTAAGTGAATAAAAATCAGGAGTTTTTGAATCTAAGAGTTACGTTGCCTGTTGCACATTAGTAGCAGAATACTGATCAATGTGGTTGCACTGGCATTGATTCAGGTTGCAGTGAAAGCTTTTCATCCAGATGCATCGGTGCTTTGTTAGAACTGTAAAGAAAACCATCAGGCTGTTGTCTGACGTGCATACACATCGCACTGTGTTTAAGAAATTACCTCTTGCACTCGGTTCATGAGCGTGGCAGCGTTTGTTCTTTCTGTACCACAAGGGTTCTGGTTTTTCTTCTGCGCATCAGCTGTCCTCACTTGATCTATTTTACATTTAAAATGAAATGTTTAATGCTGCAACATTGAAGCCTGTTCCTTTTACAGCAGTTGATACCAGATCTGTGTGCACAGAGCCCTGGCTGCCCTTTCCTCCTCCTCCCAGCACATGCTGAGAAGCATGCTTGTATTTAAATGCGGGTGTGAACAGTACGTGATCTAAATAGCCCAGAAGCAAAGTCCTGTTGCAACACATACGACGTTTCTGAATCAACCATTGCACAAAGGTATTTGTTTGTCTGGTGTGTATTGGGTTTTGACTTGGGAATGAAAACAACATATCAGTATTTCTCATGGGATGGAAACGCAATTTTCCAGTAATCTCTCACTGCATGTGACTGATTCAAAAAGTAAAGGAGATATAAATGATGGTATAAAGGAGAGAATGACAGGACATCTACCAAGGAGACAATCTGAGGAAATGCAGAGGCAAGTGGTGGAAAATGAGGTAGCTTTATGGGCAGGCTATGCAGAGGCTCAAGACAAAAGCGTGGCCACTAGTTTTTGGCAGTAGCATCAGAAAACTGCAGTCAGGACATGGCTACTGTTGCATTGTGGAAATAGGCAGATACTCTGAGACTTCAGCTTTATCCCCCAGCTGGCTGGGGACACGGTGGTGCATAGGTTGTGGACCCTTCTGTGACAGAACCAGCATGAGCGCATCTACTGCATTAGGGTGCTCGTCCTTGGGACCTGAGCAGGAAAGGTTGGGAGCTGACTGCAGGAATATATATGTATATTGCTAACTACAGTGTAGTGCGAGTTTGCCATGCCAAATTGAGATAATTTACATATGATATCCGACTGTAGGAAGGTATCAGTGATGTTCTTGGCCAAAGCCATGTTCAAGCAACAGCTGAATGGGTTTACATCAAAATTCATCACTGAGAACCATATATATTTTGACTGGAAAGTTTTTGGTTAGCATGGAGTTCTGCTTTTTGTGTGGACCAGAAAGCAATGACAGTGTGTGGCAGCACTGTCTCAATCTTACCAACGAACCTCTGCCCTTTTGCCAAAAGGAGCTGGCAGTTTAGGAGATATGGTTTGTTAAAAAGTGTATATAGTTGTAGAATAGCGTAAGTTACTAGATGCCTCTTCAATTCACTGTGTCTATGAAAGCAGGAAACGAGCTCACATGCTTTTGATCTCTTGCAATAGGATGGTTGCCCTTTTTGTTCTACTGCAGAAATAGTACCCTTCTACTACCCTTCAAGAAATTAAAAACTTGCAAGAGTTAGGAATCATTTCTTTGTCAAATAGTTGATGAACTCTGATGAAGTCTAAATCTTCCTATATAGGCTATAACGCTGATTATTCAGAAAGAATTGTAATGTGTGCGTGTTTGCTTTAACAAAACCTTTTCTTCATCTTCTGCAGGTAAGACTATGAGGCAGCAGTAAGAGGTCTGTAGCTATCCTTGTGCTAGCCAACTGGGCATGAATAATAAGCAGCTAGAGATGCCTGTAAAATCCTGTAGATCTCCTGTAGACATGCCTGTAAAAGGAGGTGGCTGTTCTCTTCTCTCCAGTAACAAGCGACAGGACAAGAGGAAACAGCCTCAAGCTACGCCAGGGGAGGTTTAGATTGGATATTAAGAAAAATTCCTCCATCAAAAGGGTGTTTGGGCATTGGAACAGGCTGCCCAGGGCAATGGTGGAATCGCCATCCCTGGAAGTGCTTAAAAACCATGTAGATGAGGCCCTTGGTGGCATGGGTTAGTGGTGGACTTAGCAGTCCTGGGGTAACGGTTGGACTTAAAGGTCTTTTCCAACCCAGCTGATTCTATGATTCCATGAAAATGGTATCAGAGATCCTGGATTTTAAAAACTTGTTTGTAAGTGGTAGTGTTGTTTTTTAGTTTCAAAACTCTTTTACTTCAGTACAAAAATGATACTTGACATGGGGTCTTATTTAGAACTTCTGTTTTCAAAGGAAACTGAGGTTTTACTACATGTTCTCTTTGAAGGGTTTTGCACAACACTTTGTTACTGCATGCTATTTTCTTTGCCTTCACTTTATGCAGTGCTGATTCCTTCTGCTAGAGATGGCTCAGACATGGGCAGTTCTGGCTGCATTTCTTCTCTTGCTGATAAATCTGGTTGAAGGGACAGGTAAGTATGAAAGATCCAAAACTACATGCAGGACACTTTGGTACTTTCTATTTCCAACTTACCAGTACACTGAAACTTCACAGTCCATCAGGGGAAATTCTTCTTACTGATTAGTGTAAATGCAAAAAGCGATGTCAGTTCAGCTGGAAAAATAACTGTGTGCCATGCAGAGTGGTACAGGATGATATATCTGATAGGAATCTAGCACAGATCATCTGAAGACACATCTCCTGTTCAACTGTGACAATATCAGAGCTATGATTTCTGGTAGAAAAGGCATCTATGTATGCCCCTTGCTAAATTTCCTTCATGAACTACTGCACCAAGTGATCTTGGGTTTTAACTCTGTTACAGGTGTGTATCGATGTCCCCCTTTTTACTTGCACTTTAACCAAGGTGCCTAATTCGGTAACAAAATAATACTTTTAAAGTAGTTTCCCTTCCCTTAAGGGTGAATCGTGCCTTCCCAATTGGTTTTACAAAGCCCAAGTTAGTGATAGAAATCTGTTGCCTAAAAAAAGATGGAGGACTTGCATCTCATCAGCGTGCATCACATAACTTCATAGTGTCCGTAGTGAAAAGGCACCATCTCCACTGTGCTTCCAGACTTCAGAGAGCAACAGCAGGAAGCTGGACCTGGAATTTGAATACTACTTATATATGCCTGCTCAAAGCAATGTGTCCCAAAGGCTGCAAGCACAGTAAAGAAGTGGAAATTCCTAAGTGTGATGAAGCCAAAAGTTTCGTGCCTTTGACAATGGATGCAACATCACTGTTTATATCTTTTCTTGTTATGCAGCTTATGACGTGGTGAGTGTGGAGGCTGGTCATGAGGCTGTGTTGAGTTGCCCTTACGTCTCCAAAGTGTCTTTGCTCATGGTGATATGGAAGAGAAAATGCAGCACTTGCTGCTTGTTGGCCTATAGAAGTGATCGCAATGAGACGAGGAAGTTAAACTGCAGTGAGAGGATGACATGGAAATACTCACCTGACAGTGACCCTGCTCTTCGTATTTACCCTGTGAGCCTTGGTGATGAGGGAAATTACACCTGTGAAATCATCAACAGTGCAGGGAATTTTCTTTTTTTCTCCTTTCTGACTGTGATAGGTAAGAAACACCCTTTGAGGGTGATTTTGGGATGTTTTTTGGTTTTGGGGTGATTGTGTGAAGATAAAAATGATTAGATTTGGTGATAAAAGACCTAAATTAGAAATTAAAGATGTAAGATGACTTAATCTGGCTATTTGGAGAAGGGAAGAAGGCTTGAGGAATTACATCATAGGACTTGGCTGTTCTATGGAGAAATAATCTGGGGTTTTGTGTTTCCTTTTTTCTACTTTCTGACTCGGGAAAAGGGGAGGTTTTAAAATGCACAAACCCAACAGCCTGCATAGTTTCTGAGGGAGTTCTTTAGGTGTAACATGGGCTTTGAATGTTGTGTGAATGTTCACGCAACCAGGAGTACACACTCTTGGTTAAGTTATGCAAATAGAAGATATCAAATAAGTATTGCTACTATGTGCTAAGCAAGAGGATGCTGAACCAAGACTTTTGTCTGGGTAAGAGCTGAATAGGAAGGAAGCAAAATTTCAGGACGCTATCTGGAAATATTTAACTCTTCCAGAAATACTGAATGCTGTCTATAAGACTGCATCACTAAAATAAAAATTAATCTATTTTCAACATAAGCAAGAACAAAAGAATATTAGGAAACATAATAAATACATCAAATCATCTTTTTCAGCTAGGCAGGTAAACAGGTTTCCATTAACCGAAACCAGCATAGGAGGAGATTTTGTGCCTGGCCATATTAGTTAAGTCTTCTGAATACAACTAAAAAATTAATTTGGGTACCCTATAATTGCTGCTGTTAATTTTTTGTCACTTGATTTATGTATGTTTTTTCAGGGTCTTACTCTTCTGATACTGTCTTAGGTATTGTCCAAGCCTTGTCCTGTTTTGTCAAATGCAGAGTATGAGTTGTTTGACTCCAGCCTGAACAGTTTTGTCCAGTTCCTCCTTTACTCCCCTACTATCAAATGCTTGATTCTACCTACACAGTCTTTTAAATATCTCAGCTGGAGCTTCAGCAAGATGTGTTTTCTTCAGTACAAGCTGCCATACTTACAAATCTTCATTTAATCCACTTCTCTCTATCATCCCCATCTTCTTCTGTTACTCTTGTAGTCACCTTTTGGACAACATGAAGAAGCAGTACTGTCAGATTCAGACAGCTAGTTTTGGAGATATTCACCTTGGAGTTTTTGCTGTATATTTTCCCCCTGAAGATTGTTGGTGCTAATATTCCAAATTATTTTAAAATCTCTTGAATTGGTCGTGCAAAAATAAAAGAAAACCACCTATTTTTCATGTCTCAGTTGGTGATTTTATACTGAACTAGAAAAAATGGTTGTGGCCTTTTTTTTTTATCTCTTCTGTAGTCCCTCCCACAGTGACTCTGACCTTTAATAAGAGCACAGGGGCTGTTTGTCAAGCATCTGCTGGAAAGCCAGCTGCTGACATCTTCTGGCTTCCTCCAAGCAATCACAGCACCAGTGAAGAAGTCCATCACCCCAATGGGACAGTGACCAGACTGAGCTGGGCCAACAGCAAGCTTTCCACTGTCACCTGCCTGGTTACCCACCCAGCTACAAACCAGAGCCTGTCCCTAGACTTGCCAGGTAAGTAATGTTGTTCTGTATCATTATGCTCTTGGGCTTCATTGTGCTGTTCTATGCAGCTGTTCCCACTGAACTCCAGGGTTCTACAGATTGTTTAGTGGGATTATAAGCCAAAATCCTATTGCATGTTGACAGAGAAATTAACAGTTTTGAGTGAGTTTCTATCCCTTGTTTGCTTCTTTCTATCCCTGTTGTACTTTACAAGAATTCCTCATTCTGCTTTTGGTGGGTTGACCTTGGCTGGCTGCCTGGTGCTCACCAAGCTGCTCTATCACACCCCCTGCTCAACAAGACAAGGGGAGAAAAATAAGATTAAAAGCTCATGGGTCAATATAAGGACACAGAGATTATTCACCGGTTACTGTCACGGGCTACACAGAGATTATTCACCGGTTACTGTCACGGGCTAAACAGACTGGACTTGAGGCAATTATTTATTGCCAATAAAATCAGAACAGGATTGTGAGAAATAAAAGCAAATCTAAAAGCACCTTTCCCTTACCTCTCCCTTCTTTCTGGGCTCAGCTTCACTCCCAGCTTCTCTACTCACTCGTCCTGAGTGGTATCACGGTTTAAGCCCAGCTGGTAACTCAGAATCATGCAGCCATTCACTCATCCCCTCTCTTCCTCCCCTGGGCAGGATGGGGAGGAGAATCAAAAGAAAATCAGCCCATGGGTTGAGATAAGAACAGTTTAATAACTCAAGTAAAAGATACTACTACTACTAAGGGTAATAACAATGGGAGAGAATATAAAACTAAAAGAGGAAAGGAAAAAACAACAGTAAGCAGCAGTGATGCACAATACAATTGCTCACCACCCACTGACCAATACCCAGCCCAACCCCAGCAGCAGTCGGTCCCTTCCGGGTAACTCCCCCCAGTTTCTATACTGGGCATGACGTGCTGTGCTATGGAATACCCCTTTGGCCAGTTTGGGTCAAGTGTCCTGTCTCTGCTTCCTCCTGGCTTCCCCGTGCCCCTCCTCACTGGCAGAGCATGAGACTGAAAAGTCCTTGATCAGAGTAAGTATTACTTAGCAACAACTAGAACATCAGGGTGTTGTTAGTGCTGTTCCCAGACTAAAGCTAAAACACAGCACTGCACCAGCTACTAGGAAGAAAAATAACTATCCTGGACAAAAACAAGACAAGTGGCACATTTTTGACCGGCTCAGCCTTGGCCAGCAGCAGGTCAATCTTGGAGCCAGCTGACGTTGGCTCTGTTGGACATGGGGGCAGCTTCTGGCATTTTCTCACAGAAGGCACCCCTTCAGCCTCCCCACTACCAAAACCTTGCCACACAAATGCAACACATTGCTTTGCTTTGGTAACCTTTTTAATCACCAATAGCAGAAAAACTGCTTTCAGCACCCACTGGGATACAGCTCACTCATTTTTGATGTGAAGCTTTGTACCCCTGAAGTCGAGTTTTGTCCAGCTTCCCACAGTGGTGATGGTCTGGAGAAAAGTTCTTTGGACAATGTCTGTCTGTGACTTTCAAATTGTCTTTCCCAGGGCCAAAGGTAGCAAAGGGCAAAATTCTGGTTCCCAGCTGGCAGTGCTGGAACTGTTAGAAGTCTATTCCAGTAGGATTTGTAAGAACAGCTAAATAAGTGCTCATATCACCAAAGTAGAGGCAAGAAGGACAGAAGCCAGCATAGACCAGTCATTAATAACAGCATTTTGCAGGAGTGGCTGGTCATTTCTGTTGTTGCAGGCCTAATATCATTTGAAGAAGAGGAGACTGTGCAGGCAGATGAAAATGAAAGTGTGTTTGTGCACACAAATGACTGGGTTTGTGAGGCAGCTTCCTATTGCTGGTTGGCATCCACACATCTCATCAGTGTCTCTCAGTTCATTTGAGCTGTGGGGGTAGAGGATTAGCTTTCTGCTCTGGATACGGAGCTAGTAACATCATGTAGGCAGTGCATACTGACATTTAGCTTTGTAACTAGTTTTCTTTTCTTATTTCTCAGGTAATTCCCCCAGGCTTGACTTTTTCCTGCTAGGAGGATTTGCAAGTGTTGCTGTTGTCAGTGGTGTGGCTTTATGCTTGTTTTGTAGCTGCAGAGGTAAGTCATTTGATGATCCTGAAACGTACTACAATTCCTTTGCTGACTATGTGCAGGTACAAGGACATGTATTTCATTGCGGAGAATGTGGTGGGAAGCATGGATTGAGAAAAATTTCCACAGATGTTGCATTGTCCTTTTGGAAAAGTCTGATAAAATAAGGGGTGGAACTTTAAAATGAGTTTGGAATTTTGTAAGAGTCATAGTTATTATGATATTAATGCACTATATATATGGGAGAGAGTCATCCAGGGTGAAAAATGATTCTTTCTGAGAGTACGGTCGGTTTTGAGGTTTTAGAATTCTTTTGGTTGTTCTGCATTTACTGACATAAAATTCTATGCTTAAGAACGACAGTTCACAAACTAGTCTAATGAGTAGACACAAACAAGCTCCTCGTTTCCATCAGCAGTCCTAAGTTTTCCCTTGAGCAAGTGTAGTAGACTGAACGTACATCCCTCTGGTACAATGGCAGTTTCTCAAGCTGTAGAGATTTCATGGACACTGGGTCAGGGTCATACTGAGAACTCAGATAATAGTTTGCTACTCTTCAAGTTGTGTAAGACAGCTGTGATGGGGTATGAATGGAGTAAAAGTCCAAATGGAGGCTTAAAATGGGAGAAAGTAAGAGTAGCAGGCTGAAGATAAGAGTCTTTTCAGGAGAGCAGGGGATGCTACACTGGGAGAAGGCAATGTAGAGATGGATAAACTGTAAATGCAGAATATGCTTTTTGGGGGCAGGTGAAGAGAGGAGAAGACATGCTCAGACAGGTTCCTTAGCCCAGTGTGTGCCTGCAGAACTGAGGGAAAATGTACCTGTGTCAATTCTGTCATATCTCCCAGGGTGACCAAAAGTTTCAGTGAAGGGAAAAATAAAACAATAGTGTATTCAAGAGCAAGACATAAACCAATAAGAACTTAACTCACAAATATAACTGTATTTTCCATTCCAAACCATTCTGTGATTTTGAAGAAAGTCTTTCTAGCAGCTAGAGGAGAGCTCTAGACATAACAACTGTGCATCTTGCCCCATGAAACCATTTGAATTTACTCATGTCCTATTTTCAGCTCTCCGGTTACATAAATCGGCAAACAGGTTGGCAGCACCGGTTGCAGTAAGTGGCCTTTTTGTGTGTGTGTGTGTGTTTTGCATTTTTTTGTGTATTCTTCAGTAAAACATGTAATTTCATTGCAATGTGTCTGGTCTGACAAAGCTCCCAATTTTCTCTGCGTGTGTTTGGAGGGGGAAATGAGGAACAGTGTATCTGTGAGAGTATCTAGTGTTTGGATGGCCCTATCTTCATGTATATTCAGAGTACCTCAGTAATTGTTTAAGCACTGGATGGAGAGTGGTGTAGTGAATTTTCTGTCTAAGAACACTATAAATTACATTTACAATGCTAGTGGATAAAGCTGAATTTTAAATCTTCTAGAAGTTAATGTTTTCAAATTTGAGCTTCTCAGAGTAATCTAAACTCTGATGTTTTGCTTAAGAATGTGTATTGCTGTTGATGGCAAACATTTGTCTGATTAAAGATCAGATGAAGACAGACACACATTTTACACTGGTGTACTTCCTTATGCTGTATTAGAGACAAACACAGCTATGAAACTTCTACTTTTCTAGTTGCAGTTCAAACACTTAGAAGATAACTATTCTATGATTCTGTAAGATAGGGTACAGCAGCAGTGATAAATTTGCCACAGCAACTTTTACTTCCTTTCTAATTCCAGTGCGTCATGATACATATTTAACAGCCTGATAATATGCAGCTCTTTCCTCAGGACTTCTGCCTCATTTAATGCATACTGAAAGAGCAATTGTTTCATATTTTGTTTTCTGCTCACAGTTAAATTAATGGCTGCATGCGTTGTTTGTTGCAAACTAGTTAAGCAGTGTTCTGAAGTTAGGGTGATTAATTTCCTGATATGCTTTTCAATGGCATTCAGAACAATTTGGCTGATGAGAGTGGGAGTTGCAAAGATCAAAGTCAAAAGCTTCCAGTAATTTTAGGTGCCTAAACTGGATTGCTTGTGGCCTGCCTATTCTTTTTCAGAGAAGTTAGGATTGCGGAATCCTATTTTTCATTATCATCTATTTTGCTGAAAATACCAACATTTCAAAATCTGTTTCCAATTGCATTAAAGAAGATTCAAAGTCTGTCCTGTTTAGACTTTGTGAAGGTGCTTGCTGCTTCCTTCTGTCGGTTTGGGTTTCACCTTCTGTGCCTTATCCCTTTGCTCACAGAGCTCACAGTTGTTTTGCAAAAGTAGTGTTACCTACTGGGTTTCTTCTGTTCTTCTTTTTTGTTTGGACTCTGTGAGTATGATGGTTCCATTAAATTCTGCAGTGTAATGCAATGGTACATATTTTAATTTATATTGCAGACTAAGAACTTCAGATCCACACCATCATGGCTGAAAACAGAAGCAGTCAAGCCTCCTGTCTTATCAGAGAGTATCTACCAGAATTACAGTTCAAGAATGGTGTATATGAACTGTTGACAGTGTAGGCACAAGCAGTCTAATACCAGCTCAGCCACTGATGGTACACAGTTACCTGTACTTCAGCTAACAAATCTCAGACCTTACTTCATTGCACACCAGCAGAACGCTCAAAATTGCCCCACAAAAGCATTTGTCCTTCCTGACCTGAAAAAAGTGGTTTACCTGTTTCAGTAAATTATTTCTCTCTTTCTTGAAGTATCAGTACAGCTCTTGAAACGTTTGAAACTGTTAAGGACCAAGTCAGTTTAATACCTCTCTGAATGTTGTTTGAAAATGGGCTCTGTGCTGTCTTTCTTCAAGTCAATGACTGACATATTTCTGTGCTGGAGTAACAGACTGCAGGTGCAAATGCAGCATTTTTTCCATTTTAGCAACTTTGTGTTGGTAAAATGGGCTTTGCTGGAGGTTCCACAGCTCTTAACAGCCATGTGGACTATGGTTTGCTTGATTTCATATTTCTGGGATGGCCCAAGAGCCAGTGCTGCTGCAAGCTCAGAAAATTAGCTTAGAGCACTGTAGTATGGCTTTGATCATCACCTGCTTACCGCCAGCAAAAAGCTGGAGTTATCAACCCACAGCTCAAGTGAGCCCACATGTTGCAGGCATTAAAAGGCCTCAGCTGCCTAATTGTCATATCTTCCTTCTGCAATGAAGTTGGCCCTCGTGCTTTTCAAGCTGTTGTGTATGATTAACAAAACTTATTAGGCCAAAGAGAACAATGTGGCTAGTGCGGGTGATAGTAAGGAAGGCTGGGACATGAATAATGCTTCTCGGCAGAGCGTAATAATTAAACAAGCTCACTTAATTTTCTGCTCATCTTTTGTGTGTGTTATAATACTGGCACAAGTGGTAGATAGTTTCACATAGTTTCCTTCTTTTTTAAGGGTCTGCAATTCACTGGAGCTTTTGATCACAGGAGTATATATTACATCCAAGCTGCCAACGGGCAACAACGATTCTAGTGGGCCTCTCAGCTCTGCTAATAGCATTGTCTCTGAAAGGATTAGCCAAGCAGTAGGGCAATGCATACGCTCAGAGAGGAAGGCCTTGGTGCTTGGGGTAAGACACAAAGATCTGTGAATTGAATGTTTTTGTATGGAAGCAGAGAGGAAAGACTAGAGAAGGGGGTTGACAGAGCAAAACAGTAAGTCTAAGCAAGCATGATGATGGGTCGTCGCAGCTTGATTCTTAATAATGTGATTTATTACTTTTTCCATTCACACTGCCTATTGCTGGATACATTAACTGCTGATCATGAGTGGTGAAGGACAGGCTTTTGTCATACGGGAAGATCTTGGCATAGGCTTTGGTGGGTTCCTCTCTGCCTGCCATCAACAGCGTGTGTCATGTTTCTTGGTCTCACGAGCTGCACACCAAAGGGCTAAAAGCCATGAGACACACACCTCAGGAGGAAAAGGGGAAGGAAGGAAAGACCTGGCTGCTGGGCAGGGTTCCCGTGCTGCCAGAGGTGTGTTCTCTTGGGCTGGCTGCTGGGAAAGTGCCCATTTCCCACCTGGATTTAACTTTGTAGCTGATCTGTTGAGTATTTTGAGAACAAAATCACTTAAATATTTTCTGCCATGCTGATTTTGTATGGGATAGGCATCTGGGCGTGATTCAAAGAATAATCCAAGTTATGTATTTGGTCTCTTGGAGGAGGTCTAGAAAATAAGCAACTTGAGGATTTTTATTTTTTCATTCTTAATTTCTTTTTCATGGGTATATTTACCCTCCTTTTTATCCTTAATTGCACAAAAGCCTTTGGTGGTCTTTCACCGGTGTTATTTGCACTGAAAGCAAATTTAAGCAAGGCAAATGTTTAGACTGCAAACTTCCACCTATTCTTCTGTGGCCTCGTCAGAATTGCTGGGAAGATGCTGATTATTTATTGAATAATCACTGTAAGAGAGCTACTAAACAGCAATTGGGAGCTTGTTATTTGCACATTCTGACAAAACCCACAATAAAATAAAGGCTGGGAGCATGAGGCCTTGCTCCAGGGCTGTTGCAGACTGACTATTTAGTCAGACACATGGTTGTTTGAACGTCACTTGTGCTTTTTAGCACTTGATGTGGTTATAGATGAAACCACTCCTGTTTATTGTGTGGACTTTCACTCATAATGTTTATAGGGCACTTGGTGATAGTGATGATGTCTGCTTTCTGATTCATCTATGAGCGATTTATCTCCTGGAAGTAGGTGTGATGCTGCTGAACGGTTCTTTATTCTCTTTCTGAAAGTTGACCAAAAGTTCTGCTTAGAACCCCACAAATTGGAATGTAACTTCAGATTATGAACAAGATTTGTTTTAAATCCAAACTTGCAACACTAGGATTGAGATGAAGAAGGGAAATAATTTTCTTGCAGACTTTGGAAATGGGACACATGTCCTAAGGGTATTTGATAGTTCAGTGAAAAGCTTGGTTTCCTATATTAGTATTTCTTATTGCTGTATTTTTTGGTCTAGCCTTCTTTGTCATAGCTTTTCTTCTCTGATGAGAAAACAGTATTTTCTTTGGTTCTCCACTAATAACTATATGGAATATTGTCCTGCCGCTTTTAATGTCTTTCTGGCTTAGTCTTTCTGCCTTTGTGTCTGTATGTCTGTATGCATCTGCCATAGAATCATCACAGAAGCATAAAAGGTTTTGTATTGGAAGGGACCTTAAAGCTCATCCAGCTCCAACCCCCTGCCACAGGCAGGGACACCTTCCACTAGAGCAGGTTGCTCCAAGCCCCTGTGTCCAACCTGGCCTTGAACACTGCCAGGGATGGGGCAGCCACAGCTTCTCTGGGCAACCTGTGTCAGTTCCTGTTGTGCTGGAGGCAGTGAAGAGCTCGTGATTTAACCACATGGGACTTCTGTTTTATTTTCTCACTTCTCTGTCCTGGAATAGTTTTTGTTTGTGCTCTTAATGGTGCTTCTTTATGCTATTACCTGTTTTTATCTTTCATTTTCTCTTTATTTCCTTAAACTTGTCTCCCCAATCCTCTCATCACTAGTTTTCTCAGTTTATTGAGATTTATCTTCTCTAAGAATTTTATTATCCAATTCTCTTTCCTTTTCTTTTTGGCACCAAGTTACAGTTGCTTTAGTAGGTTCCAGATCCTCTAAATGATGTATTTCTTTATAAGAGGTTTTAAGAGGTTTGCTTTTTTTTTTTGGAGAGGGGGAGGGTGAAGGGGGAACAAAAGGTTTCAAAACATGACTTGGTTTTGAATTTTCTAGTGTTATTCATTGAACTCCTCCTGGGAGACATATTTACTCCAGGTCTCCTTGATCTCTTGGTTTGTTTTTCACCAATACATAATAGAAAATTAGTTGCTCTTGACAATAAATTACTCTTGTGCTTCAGCTTCTGCAAATATAAGCTCACCTACCAAATTCAAGTGTGTAATATGCAGCGTTGTATTTGTCCTTTGGTGACATCTGTCCTCCATTATTATGCAAAACATCATAGCCTGTTTTTTTCCCTCCATATTTTACATGCTGCCTTGTACCACTCCCAGCAGCAAGAGGATCCAGCTCAAAGAAACATCAGTGAAGCTTTTCGGACAATCTTGGTTATCACTGATTTTTTTACATAGTTCAGACACAATAAAAATATATCTCTGATACAATATTATGCTTTCTCTGAATGGGACTGTACCTACTCATTGCTGATAATGTTGCATGTAACCAAGAAATCGTGGACTAAGCTCTGCTCTGGAAAGTAGATGCTGTTTTACCTGGTTCATCATAATAAGCAATAATATTCTCGGAGAAAGAGGAGAACCACAAACTCCTTGTTCATTTGTATTTGTAAAACTTCCCCCTAAGAAGAGTAGAAACAAAAAAGATAAGGAGGTTTTTTGCCCCACTTTATCCAGGTTCTGCCTCTTGTCATTATTAAGCTATCACTACAAATGCTGCTGGGTTTCTCATGTATTTTCTAGTGGTTTTGACTATATTATCAAATCAATTCACACAGAATTTAGCACACAGTACCCAGAAAAGCCTCTTGGATCTCCTTGTTCAGGCTGGGGCTCATCTAAACTGGCTTCTGTTTTGATTCCTGGTTCCCAGTCTTTTATTCTTCTGTGAAGGCTTGTGATGTTCTCTAGCACTGATCCTGGCTCCCATGCCTTGACGATATTTAATCTGATGCCTGGTGCAGAGAACTCTGGAACAGAGAGAGACGAGGAATGATCTCTTGCTGCATGAGAAAGAATGCAACAGATTATTCCTTTCACTGAGATCTCCTTGGGATACCTCACCTGATATCTTGCACTTCCTGCAGTTGGTATCCTTGGTGGCAAAGGTCCTGAAAAGCCTGAGCAGCTTTTATGGGAGCCTGACTGACTGGTAGTTTGCCTTACGGTTGGAGAGGTTGTACCCAAACCTCTGCATCTTGCTCCTAGTTGTAGCCCAGGAAGCTTCTGCAAGAACTCTTCAAGTCTGTTAATTGCTGTATTCCCACAGGCAAAACTTCCCATCCCTCTGTCTTCTCTTTGGGAAAGAAATGGTACTGAAGCCAGCTCTCAAAGCAAAAGCATCTTGCTTGCAGATTAACCTAAGAATATGGGGACTACCTGGATAGTGTGTACAGTGCTACAGAACAGTCACAGAGCTAGGCCAACTTGGAGAGCACTTCTGCAGCTCTCCAAAAGTGGACTGATCATCCTCTTCTTCAGTTAGCTGGAATTACCAGCCTGCCTTAATTTGGGGATTTGCACTGATACCCACCCTGCAGCTCATGGCAGACCTCGTGCTGGAGCAGGCTCCTGGTGGGAGCTACAACCCCGGAGAGGAGCCCACGCTGGAGCAAGTGGCAGGACTTGTGACCTGTGGGGAAGCCACGCTGGAGCAGTCTGTTCCTGAAGGACTGCACCCTGGGGAAGGGACCCACACTGGAGCAGTTCATGAAGGACTGTATCCCACGAGAAGGACCTACACTGGAGCCTGGGAGCAGTGTGAGGAACAAGTGGCAGAGATGAATGTTATGAGTTGGCCCCA